GATGTACTTCTACCGGATGTACTACCGCTGGTGGCTTAAGGCCGGAAGATCCTGAAACAGCGGCATTGATTGCGTCCTGACGGGAAGGATTTACCACCGCTCTGCCCCTGCTTTTGGTTGCGTCTCTCTTTTGCGCTGCGCTGTCCTAGGCCGCCTTCCTCTACTCAATTGCTATGGGAAGTCCAGTCATGGACTCAATACTGTGGACCCAACCTTCTGCCCAGTCACTGTCAGCTCCTAGCTGAACCTCGCGCTGTTGAACACATCGGATCCGAATCTTCCCTCCTGCTACGGTAGCTGCCGGATCCTGCCTGCCCCCGGGGACTTGTGGGAGAAGTTGTTCTGAGTTTCCTGAGCTTTGTGGGCGTTTTGTTCCATGACTCTCTTAACCCTTCCCCAGATCGCCCAATACTGTGCGTCCAGCAACCCCCTTCCATGCTTGGGGAAGGGGCTGTCGTTGCTTTCCTATCGCCTCCTGGCACCCTCTCTTTCAGACCCACAAGGCCAGAGGCCTTATGGTCTCTTATCCCCTTATACAGCTTGCGCTGGTAGGGATCAACGTGCCTCAAGGCGGCTAAGCCCGTGAGTAGTGTGAGCGTCTGGTCCGGGAAGGGTCCACCAGTCACCACTTGTCATAAAGCCGCCACCTTGTCCCAGACCTGGTGGGCCTTGGGGCAGGTGATCAGGTAATGTATCACGTCCTCAACCTGGCCGATGCGTCTGACGTACAAAATTTGGAGAAAAAAAAAAAAAAAAAGTACTCGCGTACAAACCATTGTACGCGAGTACAAAACAGCTGTTGTGCTCCATTGTCTGCGACCCACAACACATTTTTTTTATGTTGAAAGGATTCGCCATTTCATTCCTCATATGGAAAACAACGAGGCCGGGAATCCTCACAAACAACCCGGAATGAACTGGGACCATTACCCAGCTTGGTCCATGCTGGAAACCGGGTCCAGCGTCGCTCTGCTTCCATCTAAAAGAATTCTTCCAACTAAAACCTTGAAGCTCATCAAAAAGGGAGGGGATCAACAATCCCCCAAATCTTGTCAGCATCCAGCACAAAGCCAATCCTTACCGCTACGGACTTATCAAAGTTCAGCCTTCCCTCAAGACTCTACCGGTGCGCCTAAAACGGACTGGTCTTGTATGAGCCTGGGAACGGCCATTATTCAAGGTGGTTTCAGCCACCGGGTAAATACTAAATTGAATAAATTCTAAATTCCTATCCTGTGGTACTGTGACCAGACGATTATCGTTAGCCCATGTCTTCAAAAACCAGGGATGACCGTTCTTGTTACGTGTGTAGCCTACTTGCCAGTCCACTCTCAACATGCGTCTGATGCTGAGGCATACCTGTCTGTTTTGTTCCAGAAGATATATCTTTGTTCCTGAGAACACCAGAGAGTTTCTTGCCCTCCAGATCTGCTGGAAGATGGCCCCTCTGCACAACAGCGCTATGTAGCCCCACCCATCCCTGAGGGAGGTATTGTTTGGAGGGAGAAGCCCGTAGAGAATCCAGTTATCTGTCCAGGTCCATGTCCCGCCTGTGGCTTGGTCCCACAGACTAATCAACCACATCCAGA